TGCTCGAGGATTACCTTGATAATCCCGATGATCTCATACCGGCCATGTCGGATGACGACAATTAAGGAGTATGAGATCGCTGAGCAGTACGTCTCACGTACGCTCAGGCACATGGTCCGCATCATGTTTAGGGTTCGTCGCCCTTCCATGATTTGTATGACCACGTCCTCCCTCTTGAACTCGACTGAGGGTAGACCGGGATATTCAAGCGCTACGTTCAGTCCTTCCGTTGCGTTATTGGGGACGAGGCGTCCCAAATTTCTGAACTGGCGCTTCTTACCATAATCGCCCAGCTAGAAGGCGGCACGCCTATGTTGGGGACGTGCACCAACTCGCTCCGCACGCCAAGTGTCCTCGCGAGTCCAACCCCGCTCTCTTTGGTGCTCGCAGCGTCATGAGCATTTTGCTCAACGCGCCTGCGGTGCCCGTCGCGCCGCTCGTTACCACATTTAGGTCCCATCCCGCGCTGGTACAGCTCCCTAATCGCATCGCATTACGACGCAGTCCTCGTAAGTGGCACTGCAGCGTACGCCCAGCGGCTTTTACTGGACCGTACTATCCCACTGCCGATGCCCCTTTCATCTTTATGGACATGGTAGCTCATTCGAGTCGCGCCCCCAGCAAATCGTTTTCTAATGATGCTGAAGCTGAGATGTGCAAAAGCTTCATCCGTCGTCAGCAAAGGCATACCTGCTTCCAGTATTTGTGCAATTACATTTTACAGGGTGCAATATCGCTAGATGAGAGAGAATTTCGCTGCGCTGCACGTCGAACTGACCACAGTGGACTCGGTTCAAGCAGGTATTCATTTTACTTACCACTAAAACCGATTTCTCTCCAGATTCGGGCGAATTTCTTGATGACTACCGTCGTCTCAACGTCGCGGTGTCGTGCTGCCGTCACGGCCTCTTCATCTTCGATCAAGCCGCGTCCCTCCGCAGGAATCCTTCGTGGGGTCGTGTCTTCGAATGGGCCGACTGTCTCAACGTCGTGATGCTTCCCGGTGCTACTGAGCGGTAGCTCATCCCTCCTCATTAATTACCTTGGTGAGCTACGTTTTCTTACTATACCGTCTCAAATTCTAAAGTCCGAGACGGACTTTTGGTAAAGGGGGGAGGTGTAAGCCACGCCGGCTCAGGCGTGGAATCGGCATTCATGAGGGATGACTCATGGCTGTACTTTCAGGCGTGACGGCGATGCGAGGCTCAGCACCACCACGACAGTCGATCATCTGCCGATCTCGAGGACGCTCGAGCTTCTTCCTCAGTGCCTTCAGGGCGAAGCCCTGCCTCACCCAGAACTGTTGATCTCCTGTTGTCTGTCGTATCTATGTCTTTGCCTATTATCCTACATAGTAGATATTTGCTATATAATATGCTCTTTGTACATTTGTACGGTGATCTTGTATACCTTTTTGATGCCTTAAGGATAAACTTTAGTGAATAGACAGTCTTACGACAGAAGCAGGAAATGCAGCTTCCGCGGTGCGCGCTCGCTTACTATGCGAATATAAATTTAGGCTATACTTAACACGTAGCAATCGAGAATGGTTGACAACAACCAATCAACAGTCAACAATAACTCTCAACATCCAATCATTCGCCCTAAATGTTTGTGCCAATCATTCAGTTCAAACCGTAAGCAACAGGGGTGTATGTCGGATGGCGTGGCAGCTGTTATACCGTAACTGGGACGCTGCTGGCCGTAATTGCCACCTCCACCGAGCCTCTGTAGCCGTCCTCTTGGTTGGGACAACTCGTCCACGCCACTTATCACCTTGATTCTCGTAATTGATTGACCAACACTGGCAAGACACCAACATTGCGAACTTATGACTTAACTACGCATACTCGTCCGTTTTTGAGCTAATTTCCGACTTCTTTCGCCCAACCCTCGAATTGCGAACCCCAACTTTCCGCTACCATTTATTTGGACAAACAATTCGTTTCTCTGGTATTATTTTGTCCAGCTATGACGATGATTATCGACTAGTATTCTTCATTGCATTTCTGTACAACTGCGGCGATACTAATACAGCGGTAAGTTTTGTACATTGCTTAAAACTTAGTTCCCATGCTGTTTGCTTGCTGGAAGAGCATAGTTTCATGACCATTATAGGATCATGACACATTCTTCTTCTCAATTTGCTCACAGCATATTTTTCATTGTTAAGGCTTACTTTCAAGAGTTCCTAACAATTTTTTTTTACATCTCCGTTCAACACTCAATGTAACAGTATTCGTGAGTAGGAACTGACATTCTGGTCTGCTGACGAGTGACATTTCTCATAATTACTGCCATAGGGGAGTGACGGAGTTTCGAGAAGATGTACGGGAGATTTTGTGTCTCCTTTGGGCATATCAGACGAAATCAGCAACGCCGCACTTCCCGTCACCCTCCTATATAACGATGAAATGTCGTTTATCGGCAAAGTCAGAATTTCAGTTGCTACTCATAAATACAGTTAAGGGGCTGAATACACGAGAAGGGTTTCACAGAGCAATTGATGAGTTTTGAAGAATAATGTTTCGCTGAACTGTTCTAGTGACGACATGACATATTTCACGTATTCACTAACGTAAGAAGTACAAGTGTTTAAGTAATACCAGGTAAAAAATGAAAATATGATGTTTCTATTTGTAGATCCAGAACAGTGGGGAACACGGAGTGTTGTATAAAGATGTAGAAAAATTGCCAGGAAGTTGAGGGCAAATCTTGAGAAGGAGAAATGAGCTGTGTGAGAACTGAAAAGAAGATGTGTCATGCTCCTATAATGGTCATAGAACTATGCTCTTCCAGCAAGCAAACAGCATGAAATTGAGTATTTAAGCAACCGAAGAAAACTTACCAGTAGCAGAATAATAGTGGGGTTCGCAATAGAAGATTGGGCGAAAGAAGTCGGAAATTAGCTCAAAAACGGACGAGTATGCGTAGTTACGTCATAAGTTCGCAATGTTGGTGTCTTGCCAGTGTTTGGTCAATCAATTACGAGATTCACGGTGATAAGTGGCGTGGACGAGTTGTCCTATCCAAGAGAACGGCTGCAGAGGCTCGGTGGAGGTGGCAATTACGGCCAGCAGCGTCCCAGTTACGGTATAACAGCTGCCAGCCACGCCATCCGACCGCCTTCCAAGCAACAGGGATGGATCTCCCCAATAAAAGTAGGCGGTAGTCACGGTAGGCCGCCCCGATACGTAGACTTCCGTGTACGGGCATTGCGCTTCAGAATTTTGAACTCGCGGGTCAGTGTCCTTTCAAATGGAGTTGGGGCGAGTTCGTCCATACACTCTTAAACGAAGAAAGCTTTTTAAGTAAACCATAACATTTCAAAAGAAGACGGTTGGGGAGAAGGAAAATGCAGTTGTGAAGAAAAATGTTTGAACTTTCCGAAATGTACTAAAATGTTTGTAAAGGTTGCCTTTTTTAGAGAGATATTCAGCGTTCGCGATTCGTTGAAACTCGATGCGAACTGTTCTGCTTTGAAAAGAGCTACTTTCCTTTCAACTTGTCTCGCTCCGCGCGACCTCTTAGATACCATTATTTACATTATTTACATTTACCATTATTTATCTCTTAGATACCATTATGTACTAGGGAGTCGCTACCTCTTTGATAGTATTATATGTGAGGGTCGCTTAACCCCCTTGATAGCATTATTTACTAGGCACTCGTTTAGACTCTCCTGGTTACGCTTGAACTCTATTCTTTGTGACTTGTATTTGCTCCCCGTATCAGCTCTTGGTCCCTATAAAAGGGGGGTGCCCGCTGATACGGGGCGCATTCGCCAGGAGTCGGTTCGAATAAAACTTAACAGAACCAGCTCTTTCTAGCACAAACAAAACAAGCCCCTGATCGGGACAACTTGGTGCATCGGCTAAAACAAAAAAAAGTAATAATAGCCACTCGTTCCCGTTTCGCCGGTTAAACCATCGAAACGTGGAATAAAAAATCAGCCTATAGGGGGAACCAACCCTTTCTAACCCTTCCAATAACACAACACTGAGCTCAAAGAGCTTAGAACACAATAGGAAGTAGAAAAATCAGCAATGACATTGATTTTTCACAAAAAACCAATAGAATTCAGCACGAAAACACTGAACACACTGCTGGAAAAGTACAAGGCGTACGCGGATGAAATAAATCCCACAGGCGACGACCGTACACAGTATGATGAGTACTCCACTGCGGTAAATCTGATCGCTGGAGGAATCAAAATCATCAAATCAAGCAGGGACTCCCTGTAGTCACTCGTCGACAAACTAGAAAAAGAGTTCGACGAAGCGAGAACCAAAGCAAACAAGAAAGATCTCGTGAACGACATAGAAGAAATAGACCGAGATTGTCAGTTCACGGAAAAAATAGCCCGTGCCAATAAAATGATATACGTGCTGGAAGCACGTCTTACGGAGAATCAAAATAAATTGATTAAACTCGGTCAGAGGCTGGGCGTCGAGCCGCAGAAGTGCGAAAT